TTCACGCATCGGCGACATAGCTGCGTGGTTCGCCGTGGAGGCTGTCGGACGTGAGGGATGGTGGTGATGGTGATGATGGTGATGATGATGATGCCCAATCGACATTCCGGGCGCTGCAGCTTCCGCTGGTGTAGATGTGCGGTGGAAGAAATTCATCGCGGACACAGGCCGATGGGATGTACTCGAAGCGGCAGCATTATCTTCTTCAGGCTTGGGGCGGTGATGATGATGGCTTGGGAACGTTAGATCAGATGAAGAAGTAGAATAACCATGAAACTAGAAGGGATTATCACTTACTGATGATGGTGGTGATGAACATGACGACCGCGCCTGCTAATTGCAGACGCACCGAGTCGATCTGTACCAGGCTCACTATCCGCCTTACTGTCCTCATCGCGTGATTTTCGAGAACGCTTGCCCGTAGTGGATGTAGGCCGATTGGTTTTAGAATCATCCAGTGTCGCCTCGCTGTTGGTTGAACGACCGGCAATGCTATCGCGCTTGAAGGGACTGACGGTCATCGGTGTGGACGGCCCACTGCCTGCAGTAGCGGCTGTGACGCCACCCACACCACTTCCAATACCAGAGAAAACGCGGCCCAGTTCACTCTTGATGCCAGCTTCGCCGGCCGGGCCAAGAATCTGAGCCTGCGCTCCTTGGACGGCTTGAGGTAAAGGCGACGCACGTCCTCCGCGTTTGGCGTCAAGGCCGACGCCGAGTAGATTTCGATGATGTAGCAGCTCATCACTCCCCTTTCGGCGCTGATCGTCGGATGAGGCAGAGTGGACCAGAGACGACGGCCCTCCTGACGGTGCCGAGCCGAACAGCCGGGGTTCCGTCTGAAGCTTGTTCAGGTAGGATTGCTGTTCATTCGATGGGGTGGGCTGGTTCTGGCGGGCTTGCATGGACAAAGATGGCTGCCGGGATCCCCCTGGCTGTAACCCGAGAGACTTTGTATAGCTCTGAATGGCGCCAAACCCGAATGCGGAGCCTTGCTCTGGCGCCGGGAAGCGCTTGGTTTCCGGAGAGGGGGGCTGAGAGCGACTGAGATCCCAGGCAGATGCACCAGAATGGCGATTTCCCCCGGCGTCGCGATCGCCGTAATGAGGACCATATCGAGACTGAGAATGAGAGGCTTTCGATTCGGCTTCATGAGCCGCCGCCCGCTCCCTGTCGCGATGCGCTTGCTCTTCTGCGAACCGATCACCATACAAGTTCCCAAACCGGCTTTGCTGCGATTCAGGACCCACGTAAGATGCTGCGCGCTGATGTCCAGACCCTAGCGCATGGTCTCCAGCCCCCGGCGCGGGCGCTGGTCGCGACAGTGGACTATAACCCGCCGATCGAGTCGAGCGCTCGAGATGTTGCGGCTGGCTGTTGGGACGAGGGACGGGTCCGTTGAAGCTCAAGCGGCGCGATTCATGGTATGACGGCTCTGTGGATGCAGACTGCAATTGGGGCGACACGTGGGAAGAGCTAGGCTTGTCTGGAAACTGTGTCGGAGGTTGGCCGCGCGATAGGCCTGTAAACCTGGCTTGTTCGGGGCCTGGTGGACCTTGCGATACACTACCAGTGCCTGCTCTGTAAGGACGGCCGGGCTGGTTCTTGGAGAAGGATTTTTCGGGGGTCTGTGACCGACGGAACGTTGGGTAATCGAGCGTCGAGGGCCTGGCGGGAGCAGTAGGTGGTGACATTGCGCTTGGGGCGGACGGTGGAGGTGCGCTACCATAAGGGCCGGAGGATACAGGAGCACGAGAGTAGATTGAAGCCGAGCCTACATCCCGGGCCGGTCGGTCAGCGTCCGAGCCTAGCATGGAAGATATCGACATGCTGCTCCCAGGACGATGATGAGCCATGTTGTTGGGAGGCTCACGAGACATGAAAGGAGCAGGCAGCGATGAATTTCCCGACTGGCCCCGTGATGCATAGTGTTGTGGTGGAGAAGGGGGCGGCATTCGACGGGTTCCTAAGGCACTAGACGCGGACGACTGGTCTTGCGGACCTGCTCAGGCGCGATCAGTCTGGGTCAGCAAAGCGCGTAAATCAATGAACGATAAACACATGGATGTGATGGGTGAAAGAGTGAAAAGATAGTCATGTAAAAATGATCAAAAGCAATGATGAAACTTGATCCATCGCAGGATGTTTTGCACGAGAGCCTCAGCGGCGAACGCACCAGAAAACACGGGACTGCTGCTGCTGCCCAAAGACCTCCGACGACCCTGATCGTGCGACCGGGGAGGATTCATGTCGCACGCAGAGGAAAAGGTAGAAAGGGAAAATAAAATGAGTTGCACGTAATTAACAGGAAAGGTAATCAGATCGGAAAATATGATGACGCGCAATCTAGGGGGTAAGAGGAAAGGGAGAATTGGTGACTGGGGATAGCCGATGGGACAATGATGGAAGTTCCATAATCACAAAAAGGCACTGGGGCGGATGAACCCGTGACTCTGGGCCTGGACGTAGCTCTACTAGCGCTAATCCAGGTCAGGCAAGGGGATCCTGAACAAGGAGGCTATTCCAGACCAGGACTAGCGCTCCCGTGCCGAGCTGTAGTCGATCAGGCGCCAGCCGCGCCACAGACGCGACGGATGCAGGACTTGTGATTGGCTGGCGTAGTAGTACTGCCTGGTAGGTACAAGGTCGCACAGTACTGGTAGGTAGTCTGGTACGATCGTTGTCCACGACATCAGGAGCTAGTACAGTCGCCAGTCATTCAACGCTGGCTGGAGGCCATTATGCCTCAGATTTAACCTTGACATTTTACGCGACGCGACGTTCACGCTTTGAATGGCCTGCCCATGGCGTCCAGCGCTCCACTGCAGAACGACTTGGGGAAAAACTGGGGGAAATCATGAAACCATGAGGAGCAAAGGAAAAAGAGGAAGAAAGAGATAACGAAGTAATAGCAGAGCGAGCAGACCCAGGAGCAAAGTAAACAGTATTGCTTACCTTCGCGATATATCAGCTGATCATGGCTATTGTTGCGACTGTGGCTTCGACGGTGACGCTTATTGTGATCCTTCTGCCTAGGATCATGATTTTTGGGCAATTCATAGTTCATCTGCGGCACTTGATAGTTGCGATTTTCTACCTGTAGCGGCGTCGGCATATTATATGGTGTTGATGAGGCAGGAGTCGGCGGAGCAGAAGACATGGGTGTGGAGTAGGGGTAGGCCATTGTGTTCGCAGGTTGACTTGATTGTACACCGTGCTGCTTCGGCGAATCGTAGTAGACCTGTTGAGTGGGAGAGACGCCGTAGGTTGGAGGCGGCTGCGGAGCGGCACGAGGGTCGTGTGAGGCGCCAAAGAGCGACGGATATTGAGGAAGGCGCTTCTGAAGATCCATCATCATGGGCGAGCGATGATGATCTCAGGTCAATCGTATCTGAGGAACAGCAGGATGAGGGTTTGGTGCATTCAAAACTAGGTCGCGTGTAGACAAGTTCCGTAGGTAGTTGATGGTGAAAACTGAGAAATGGCGGTGGAAGTTGATGCAAGCTAGACAGACGTTGCCGTCTCCTCAGAGAATTCGATCGAATCTTAATAGAGGTGTGACCGAAGGGAGGATATGCTGTTGGGATTTTCAAGATATCAAAATATCATGGCCCGTAAGAATGTAACAAGAGGCAGGTGCGCAGGCAGATTGACTGCTGATATTGATGTTGTGGTTGTTGTGGTGGTGGTGGAAGAAGAAAAAGCCCAGAAAACGGTGAGCGATTAACCAGAAGGAAGGGAAAAGAAAAACATCAGGCATGCGACAGGACCCAAGGAATACAGGGAAGATGGAGTCAGAGACAGGGAGGGGGAGCCAATCACATGGCATGCGGAACTGCTAGTCTGGATAATTGACTATTGAATCTGCATCATAAATACTAAACTGTAAAAGACTACTAAAAAAGCGGACAAATCTGAATCAATAAAATGGGGCCGGCATGGCAGCGGGGAAAAGTGGAGTACTACTCCGTACTTACATAGAAAATGATGATGAAAGTCTTCTACCTTAGATATCCTATAATAATATATAGAGGTAGACATTCTGTAATATCGAGTGGTGACAATACTACACTGGTGATGAATCAGATCAATCTCCTATGCTTCAGAGTCCCCATATGCCATTCCTATGGCCACACTGGCATCAGTTTTCGCCTCATCAAGATAGGTACAATTACTACTGTGCAATATTTTCGTCGTTGGGCGCAGACTCCAACATACTTGGCATGGCATGCAGCAGCAGCCCATCGACGTGTCATGTTGACAGTTCGTATACACCACATACCTACTCACCTTTACATAAAGACCCAGTATCTAGCAGGGATCATTCTTGCTGTCTTGATATACTGATGCGTCTGGGTCATTGGAGAAAGAAAAGACAGAAAATCGCATCTAGTCGACTCCTCCAGATTGCTAAAGGCCTACCCCTTTGTTCCCTTGGATAAAGGAATACAATACTGTGCTGTAGGATCATCATCTGCGCCAAGGATGCAGTACATATACACCGCACATGCATGCATGCATGCCTACTTTTCGACATCTTCCTGCCGGCAATACGTCGAGTTACCAAGTAAGGTTTTTGTATCCTAGCTCTGAACTCTCGGTATGGAGTTTGCTTGCTTCAGCATCCAGTAGAAGATCCTGCGCTGTCTGATATGGTTTCGTCGACAGAACTGTAAAATTCCGATCAGAAGCCCTTGCATGATTGTCAAAAAGGGGGAATATATAGCTACTAATTAACTCAGAAGAGAAGCCTGCACACAGTTCCTTGCAAGAGGTTGGTGTTACACTGACCCTTTTCGTATTATACATTCGCAGAAGCAAGGAGTTATACAGTCATCTGTCTCAGGTTCTTAAGATGCCATTCCTCACCGTGGGTTTGATGAGTTTCTGCATGACGATATGCTTTGAACTGTGTAGTAATTCATTCCTACATGGAGACTTTAATCTAGAAATCCAGATACCCTTCTGCTACCTTCACCGTCCTCCAAGTACGAGTTCCATCACGGTCGCTCGCAATCCTTCTGGTCATTGTCAATTAAATCAACCCCTTCCTGAGCTAGTACTCGCAAGATCAACCTGCGCAATCGCCGCGGGTGGCACTGAATGCCGGTATAACGTGCCAGCAGTCCATGCTGGTGAGCAGCACGCACTTGAGCCCGAATCAACTCAATCTGCTCTTTGGAGAATCGACCGCGACGGGGGAGGCCGACAGATGCTTGGAAATCGGCAGTTGCCATAACGCTCCCTGCCAGAACGGCTTTTCTACCATGGTTTGCGGCTTCGCTGTCGCCATCGGTTCCCTCACCACCTTCTGTGTAATGCGTTCGAGTCAACGATTTCAGTGAGGTGTCAAAGAAAATAACGTCTGATTCTCCAACGTTGGTTCGATCCAGATAAGGTAGGTCTGTGCTTGAAATAACGACGGTGACCGGTCTCAAAACTCGCCGTGTCCCGTTCTTGTATGAGAGGTACCTTCCTGTCCTCAGCTTCTCCAACCGTGACATTAAATCCGGCCACGCTGTTTCAATAGGAGATTGTAACTCCAGGAGAAGGATCGAAGAGCGCTCAGTTTCCTGGTCGGAGAACCCCAATGGGCTCGCTTCAGCAGAGCGAACAGGGGAATTCAATCGAGAATTCATGGCGTCCAGCTTCTCTAGCATTGATTTAAAGTATGCGTTGCTTAGCACTTCCGAAGCGCTAACTGATACCGTTGAGTCGTTCGCCCAAAGACTGCCATTCTGCATCCAAATATTCACCTTGATTCCAATGCATCGGACTGCAAAAGAGTCTCCCATCGCATCTCGGACGGCTTGCAGACGATATGCAGAGCATTCTGCATGGCTGTGACTAAATCCAAAGACCTGTCCGTGTTCTCTGAGCTGCGCATGAGGCAACAAATGTAAGAGCCCAAGAGGCAGTATAGATAATTGTATCACAATCCTGTTCCCAACACCATGGTCAGCCCAAGTTTCATCCAAGTTTATGACAATGGTCTATGGGTAACGAACGTAATCATCAACAACAGACAAACCCCTCGAAATAGGCGCTCTCCCCAATTCTTCCTTGCCGTCACGTAGCAGCCGTGTATAAATTCGAATAATCCCGGACAACAATAAGTTGGAGGCGCACGAAGTGGGTGGTCTTCCAGCAACGTCCATGAATACCACTCATCGTAAGAAATGTCCACAGCAGTCTCTTCGGGCAATTCTAGCCCATAGGGCGCACGGCCGGTAACTGAAGGTGCCATTTGCGAGTCTTGATCAGCTGTAATGCATGCGATTGTCTGCGACGATCGACGTCACGCTCGAAGATAATGTAGCGGTGAGGGAAAAAGATCGATATTAGATGCAAGAAGCCCAATCGCCCTCGAGAATCCAGTGTAATACAGACATCGAAAAGCAATCCATGGTCGCACAAGACCATGGTGTATGTTGGACTAAATATGAGGATGAGGACTGCCAGAGAGCACGCAATTGCTGGTCTGGATGGCTCACGGTCTAAAAGGACGGCCAATTTCAATGGGCGGCGACGTTAGATTGTCGATCCGATGACGAGATAGCAGATGATCCGCATTGTTATAGACCGACCGCTGGATTAAACAGACATCCAGATATGCTTGTGCACTGCTGGAACTAGAGCTAAAAGAGTTGCTGCGCTATGCCTGACTCGCTGCTGTTGTACTGTGGATAGTCTGGGCACTTTTCCAGAATCAGAGCTTCAGGGACGATCAGTTATTTAGCGTCAGGGAGAGTGGCTGTAGACAGGTACATTTACTGTGTTACCACAGCAGTTTCGCAGTTTCCTCCATGCCATCGAGTTCAGACACTACACACATACACAGCTCAGCAACATATAGATTCGTTGCGGAAGTCCAGTCAGTGGATGAACTATCCCGAGGTCATAAACGGAGTCCAGTCAACAAAGTCAATTGACCAGTGAAATTATAACATTAGCATTCTATCTATGTGAGTATGGGTCATGAATATAGACTTATTATCATTACAATTATTCTATTAGTGGAATCTTCGCCAGATCCATCATATCAAGCAGCCATTCTGCTTTTGCTGCGAATTCGTGCTCCGTAAATATAAAGCAGCAAGGGGATAGGGATCATCAATGCTCCCACACATCCAAGCAGTGTGCACGCCCATTCCACACCTAATCCGTCAAACTGTATCAAATTCAGTCAGTTTCACGATAAGAAAGGTCGAGGTTCGGTGACTGACCATATATGTTGCAAATAGTGGGAAGACACCTCCCGCGACCGACCGCAGGAACGTGTGTGCAGCAACAGCTGATGCCGCCCTGGTGATACTCAGTCAGTCCATGCATTGTCATACTTGACAATATTGGGGGGCACTCACTTCTGAGGACGAGCCTCGACCAGATAAGCCAGCGAGGGAAGGAACATGGTCAACAATCCAAATCCTGTCAGCAGCCCCGACAGAGTCGGCACAATCCAGTGGATGCTCTGTTTGTATCCGGACCACCCCAGCCAGAAGAGCCCCGCAGAGAATGCAACTGCACCTGGAATAGCCACAGGAAGACGCCACTCTGGCATCATCACGCCGCCGGTTTGCTCCAGCTTGCGCAGAATCCAGGGCTGGGTCGCTGCGATGGCAACAGCACCTAGGAGCTGCCCTACAATAACCCCCAGATAGGGCAGCCCACCCACACCTGGGTTCATACCATGAATCCTCTGGAAGATAATCGGATATGCGGTCAAGAAGAGGTAAAGCAGCCCGTACACGAAAGATGCGAAGACGCACATGCACGTGACGATCGGGTCGAGAACGAGCATCTTCAGTGGCAGGGCGAGGTACTCGGTCAGTATGGTTCTAGCATCAAGACGCAGCTCATCGTGTTTGGCGTGAAGTGACCAATTGCCAGTTTCGCGGCGCAATCGATCGGCTTTTCGGGCTAGGATTACGGGCTGGTAGGTCTCCTCCAGGAAGACGACCAGAAGGAGGAGCACGGCGCCTCCTAGTATACCTGGAATATAGGCCGTCCAGCGCCAGCCCAGTGATGAGTTCATTACCGTGAAGCCTCCCACAAATGGGGCAACTAGAGGGCCAATGAACACCATCAGGCAGAACATGACGATGGCAATCCCCCGCTGCTCCGGCGAGAACATATCCGCAAATGATGCTCCGGCAAGTGTGAGCGGACCAGAGCCAAAGAATCCAGTGAAGTATCGGAGGATGAACAGGGAAGGGAGGTCTTTGGAGACGGCAGTTGCAAACGAGAATATCGTGAAGCCGAACATTGAGATCACAAGAGGCATGTATCTGCCCTTGACCTCCGAGAAGGGACCGAAGAATAACGGACCGAATGCGAATCCGAAGACGTAGAGGGATATACCGAGGGTGCATACCTCCCGGCTGATACCATATAGATGCATCACTGAGGGCATCGCGGCGGAGAAGATACTGCTTGCAAAAGCTACAACCATTGTGCTGAGCCCGAGTATGGCCGAGATATAGACCCTGACATTCCATTCATGTGTCAGTCATCCAGTGTTCCAGAGAACCAAAGACGGACTCGAGATACCTTTTCCTCATGGGCCAGTTGAGAGGGTTAAGAGGATCACCCGGGCCGTCGAAGTCGACATACTTTTCGACTGACATCTCGTTTGCAGGTGATCAACAATAGGTCTGGAACACTAATTGTCGGGATTTAACCGATGTCAACACTAGATATGATATACTTCGATGCCAAACTCTAGAAGCGAGAACACAGGACTCAAACAAGCAGCTCAGCGCCGAAGCCAGCTTCTTAAACTCCCCTACCCACTCATCACAGAATCCTCTAGCATGCCATATCCAGCCCTATCCTTCATAAAGACCCAGCACAAAAACCATTATAGCATGATACCATCGTGCCAAGATCTGCACAGCGAAAATCTCCACCCGGCATAAGAAGGGCCCATCGGGCGTCTACATGTCCCGAGTGGATAACTGGATATTCTGTGGCCTATTTCGTCATTGCAAACAATTTCTCATAGATTCTGGCCTGTTGGTTTTTCATTTTTTATTCATCACTTCCAGAACTGACGGTGTAGTGACTCCGTCCGCTCGGTTTGCCGAGGCATATTCGGGGCGATTATATCAACTGATCCGACGGAGAAGGCACACATCCACATTTATCTACATATCATCAGGGGATTCCCCCCCTCCCGGTTTATTAATCGTATTAAAAATAAATGTCGACGAGCAAATTCCGGAAGAGAAGCGACCGGCGACGTGGCAGGGTTTGGTTAAACACTTGTTGCATTAGAGTCAGTCGTTAGGGTTGACGCCAACCTTTGCGGTTCAGTACTTCATGTTGGCTTGTCATTGCTAATGTAGCCGGCCAAGAACATAGCAGCGGATACGGCTTGGTACAGCAGAAACCAGGAATATTCTAGCACGTTGTCCGACCACATGTAGGGTTCAGGCTTGTTTCTGCTTCGATGGGATTGCGGATTGCTTGAGATGGATTCATGATCGTATCAGCCCTACCACGAAGTACAGAGTGGGTAGTTACCACTAAGGCTGAGAAGGCTAGAACTTTGCAGAGACGTACAGACTAGAGTCTAGAGAGTAAGCTGATGGGCGCTCCAGTTGTGCGTTTAACGGTCGGCCCGATTGGACTGGCAAATGGTCTGACGGGCTGACGGATGTATGGACAGCATGCATAAGAGCCAGCTGAATGCAGTAGCAATCTTCGCTGAGCATCAGATGATTCCGATAAACGGATGATTGGCTGTATGATGTCGGATATTGTTGCTACTATTATTGTATATTGCTACGGAACTATTGTACAAATTAGGCTGAAATCAGATCCACATTCACATGAAGAACTCGCCACAATCACATGCCATATCAGATCTTCAGCTTCACATGCTTCACGAAATCGAAGTTCCAGGTAAGGGTATTTACTCGATAATGGAAAAATTTCATCTCGCTCTATACATAAGGCATAATATGTATCGTGTTCGTGTCGCCAATAATATCTTTCTCGTCTTCTCAAGGGGTCTGCGCTCCCTCCCCGATTCCCATCAGCCCGCCCGCTAGGCCGTTCATTCTGCGATCCAAAAGATCCTCGTGACTGGGAAGGCTGTGGAGACTTCTTTCTCGTTTGCGAAGACGTACCGGGCTTCCCAGATTATCGGACATGGTTTCGTCGGAAACAGGCAGAGTGAGCTGCGTCGGGGCGAGGCGCCTTCTTCTACCAAGCCCACTAGATGAGTCTTTTCGGCCCCTAGATGAACTCCTTTTTCGGATTCCATGCTTCGAGTCAGGTTTGCGATCAGGGGTGCCGGTAGCCTCCCGGCGGGAACGATAGGGCTTCTGAGATGGCGTGTCCTCCTTGGATTGCCGAGTCTCACCGGAGTTGAGATTCCCGCGCGCAGGTGTCAAAGGGGTCATTCTGCCGACGCTCATCTCCAAAGGCCTGTCTTCATCTGCAGAGGACTCGCCTGTCAAGCTTCGCTTGTGATTCCGGGGAGCCGCTTGTCCGTTTGTTTCTATGGCCAGGTTCTTATCAAAAACAGGATTATCGTAGAGCGACTGTAAAAGGCTAGAAGACGATTTCTTGACCTCAGCTGTGTCAAACAAGTTCTGGATCCACGTAGCGCATCGGTTGATATGTTTCCAGCTGTCAGGGAAAAATCCGGCCATCTGAAGGAATCCATGTGACACCCCTGGTAGTAAGGAGACTTCCACGTGGTCCTTTTCATTGAATTCCCGATGAGACTTTTCAAGCCCGAGTTCCTGTCTTTCCCGAAATTGATGCAATTTGGCCTGGCGTAGCCTACCGGCGAAGATGACCGTGTCATCGACCAGTGGATCTCGTTCCCCTGTGATGAAGTAGGTTTTGGGAAACCTGATGAGGAGGCTCTCGGGAGCTAAGACAGGCGATAAGAGGAAGTCCGTGCTAAAATCGGGCCGATTATGAGGTCCAATGTAGAGGATGATCATGGCTCGCATCATCTCAGGGGTCAATATGCGGTCATGAACGTACGAGATCATGGAGGACACGGCCAAACGAGTCCGGATCTGTTTTGGCTGATGCTCAACAAGTGCAGCTGTCTGAGCTGCCAGATTATCTCGGTTCAATTTCTCGGCAACTCTTTTTGAAGCCTTCTCTCCCAGGTCATCCGCCTCCAAGTCCGCATCGGACAAGACCTCCTGTTTCAGTTCTTCCGTAGATGGTCCAGGCGATGCAAATGGCGTCAGCCTCTGATAGTCCATATTCTTTCTCTGCAAAACGTTCTTATTCGTCCGGCGAGCGCTCTTATCCTGGATCAACGACATCTGCTCCTCCGTCATCCAGCTCTCAACTCGCATGTTTAAGGAGGGGTACGCCAGTACCAGACCATCTGGGCGTGGGATCACATTCTCAGCCCCTGACTGCAGGATCATCAGGACCGTCCCAACAGCTAGGTTTCCGCCAGCACTATCCCCAGTAACCACAATACGTGGCCGCGTGTGTCCACTCAGTCCCAGGCAACGGCCTCGTGTGGTGATGATCGTGTGGTAGACATCATAGCATTCGTTCAAAGCATACGGGTACGGATACTCGGGTGCCTTCTTGTAGTCTAGACTCAATATTGGCATCTTGGTCTTCCCCGCCCAGGCGAGCAGTCGGTCTTCCGAGTGGCGCGGATCCATGGCAACATACCCACCCCCCGGAATATCCAGAATCACACATGTCTGATCCTTCAGCGCACTCAGCGGACCGTCAAAATATAGCCATGCATTCGTTGGCTCGGTGTAAATAGATTGTTTAGGGCGAGGGATGCGGATGGCTCGAGGGCCATAATTAGTCAAACGGGGTCGGACCAACTTCTGAAGCGCCCAAAGATATGGAGTGGTTCCCTTGTTCCACGACACTCGCAGATGTTCCACGGTCAGGGCTGCGCGGACACGGCGCACCATATCATCTGCTTGCTCTGCTGCGAAGAGATAGTACACTGTGAATACCAACGATGCGATATCCCGTAGCCACTTGGGTTTGATCCTCATTGCAGTCCAAAAGCCAGCGTCGAGTGCTGTGGTGACCCATGTTGCCCGGAAAAACGACCGAGAGTAGAGATTCGCCAGGGGTTCGGGGCTTTCGAGACCAACAATCTTGGCGAAATTGCGGCAGATATAGAGCCATAGAAACACAGCTACGGTGGTTTGCCAGACGGTCAGTTTCCCCGACAGGCGGGACGAGATATTGCGGGCGATCGGAGGGCCATGCTTGCTTCCCCTACGTGGTATGCTTAGCAGACTTTCCTTCTTTCGGTTCCAACAGCATACGACATACTTGAACAGATAGGTGGACCAGAATAGGACTACTCCAAAAACCTGGATCTTTCGGAATTTGGTTGAGGGTCTCCCTAGAACGTGATCTATTGCCTATCAGTTGTCTGCTTTGACAGAGCTCAAGGAGGGTTCATACCTATCATCTCTATTAGGCTTCCTGAAAAGTCACGGCTCGATTAACCTCCTGACTCCGATCGACGTTATCGCAGATGCAAAAACCAATATCACACTTCAGGTTCATAGAGTCAGTTGGCAAGGGAAAAGGAAGGCAGAGACAGAAGGGCGACGAAAGCGAAGTACAGCTTCCTGATCGTCCTATAAGATAAATAAGGAAACAAAGCGCCTCTCTTGTCCTGCCATCCTACAGAATTAGGTAGTCAAAGAAGTGTGGAGACCCCAGGAGCATGTCGATAAACGGGGTATTGCAGCGATTAGTATCTCCAAATGCCACATGAGGAGAGTGGGGCAGTGATGAGACAAACAATTATTACAAACAGCAGGAATTGAAAGAATTTGCGGCATCCAGCAGTCTGGCGCTGACGATGTTTGTTCCTGGGAATCCATTTGGAGGATAGTGAATGGGCTGGCGCAATAATGGTCAGTAGGCAGGCTGCTTAGGGTGATGATGAATGGTGGACGAGGCCGTGACTGGGGCGGAGCATGTGAAAGTCGCCACTAGGATTATCAGGACGCTGGAACGAGAGGGACTATCGAATCATATGGAGCTTGTTCGGTACTCGTAATGGGTCAATGGGTCAAGGCCATTTCAATGTGGTTGATTAAAATGGGAACCCATGGTTGTCTAAGACTTGATTGTGGGTTGTGGATGGCCATCACATGTCAAACCCTCCACAACCCGTGACGCTATCGGTTGATGCAGTCTAGGTCAGATAGGCAACTTGGCCAGGCATCCTGGGCAAATAATACGTCAAGAGAACATCGTGTCTATTAAATTCCGAACCATTCGTCATCATTAATGCATGAAGCATCTATATTCTCCGGCAGTAGTCCCGCCCATGTGTGACTTGCCAGTCACAAAGCCAGACTTCGAAGACCATACTGACGAAGCCAGCAATGCAGATACCTGCTGCATCGCTGACTGTTGTCGCTCCTAGGGAGAATTCGCGCTCTTCCTTTGGCACACGATCTCCGATTTCGGCGAATGTGTTGACATAGACCAAACCGCCCAATAACCCCTCCCAGAAGATGATTACAAAAATGATATACACACTGGGGATGAAGTTGAAAACGGCGTGAAGGGTCAATAGTACCAAGTTCAGAATCTGCAGGAAAGACGGGACGTACAGGTCATGGATACGGAAGAAGGGCGTCGAGGATCGAGAAAGAAAGACCCCGACCTGGTAGATCGCATTGTATGCTGGATAGAAGGCACGGAAATGCGCAAAAGGCGATTCGTCAAGCGGAAAGAGCAGTGTCGGGGACACTCCTTGATTTATCGTATACTCCGCGACGTAGACCAGAAGTAATGGAAGCATACTAACGTTTGGATGTCAGTGTGGGAGCAATCGTCGCCGTTCAACTCTTCTACTTACAATGGGAAGAAAAGACCCCGGACACGTTTCAAGTCCGCTGCGAAACGCTGCCAACCGCCTTTTTCGCGCTGAGTGGAAAGATTCGAAGCTCCCAGTAGTCGTTCCCCCTCGTCAAAAATCACGTCACGGTCGCCCTCCATGAATGCGCGTTCCTCCGCGAGCTCTTCTCTTTCCTCGACCGCACGGTACCCGGCGTATGCAGCCGAAACAGGCTGCAGAGGAGATCTGGGCAGTACCATGAAAAAGCTGACTACCATGACCGCTGGCAGACATGAAGATGCCAACAGAGTGGCCTTCACACTGAGACCCAACGAGGTAGTGGCCAGGGCGTATGCACCAGCTCCAACCAGACCAGCCGCTCCTGTTCCACTTCCCCAGGCAGCCAGACTGAAAGGCCCATAGAAATGTGTCAATCCAACGAAGCTCAGCTCTCCACCTCCGCTGGACAAGCTAGCCAGCACAATACCAGCAAGTTTAGTAGCTATCGTCCCGCCATCGGTATACGGAGGGCTTAGCGCAACTAGGAGCATGCCAATGGCAGAGAGGAAGACGAATATAATGATTCGCACGGGGTATGGCACCATATGGATGAAGTACGGGGCGATGAGTTTCGTTGCGAACGAGGGTATCACGTCCGCTAGAAGGATGACTCCCTTGGGGACACTGGGCCCGACCAGATCGAGGGCGGCAGACAGGATAACAACATACAAGACATTATTGATTAGGCCTATGGTGATCAGGTAAAGCGCACAATTGTTAGCATTAAGAAATATTTCAATCTATGGGGTAGTCTCGGTTTGTATTCACTCACCAAAGAGCCAAAATGCGACGCAGACGCGAGGATCCGCGCCGCTGAACAAGGCACGGAACCGCTGGCAAAACTGAGCCCATGATGAGGATGGAGCACCAGGAAGAGGCAGCATCGGTTGTTCCTCTGTATCGGCAGCAGCAGGCATAACCAAGTAAAACGAGGGAGGTGGTTAGTATGTTACAAGTCGATAGATAGTTCTATGCGACACCATATACATCCATCACTTTGAATGTACAAAAAAGCAAGGCGGCTCAATTTTCCGATTGCATCAATCAGGAAATCATTGCAATCGCCTGTCTTCGACAACTGGTAAAAGGGCGTAAAGTTGATGCCGTCATGATAAGAATGGCAACTGGTCTCGTGACCAGAGTGGTGCCTTATTGCCTGGGAAGGACCCGGGATCACTAGAGTAACGATAGTCATCAACGAGAAAATTCTCTTCATAGTTGGGTTGAGCGCCTTGGCAGATGTTTACGAAAATATGCTTGCTTTTGTCTATCTATCTGAGAGAAAAATAAATAAAACCATTATGCTTGGCTGTAATGAAACAAAAAAGGTGTCAATCTACGGGCAGAATAGTGGTATATCGAAAGTAAATCAATCTGTAACTGCTCAGCAATCACCTATGCAGTTGTGAAAACAGCATTGAATGTCTGCTCCAAGATCTTCAGAGATGTCTTGATCTGCTCCTCGGTAATAGTCAAAGGAGGAACGAAGCGAAGACACCCTTCACCAGCAGTAATGATCAACAGTCCTCGCTCGCGAGCTGCGGTGATCAGGTCCGACGCTTTGGCTGTGTGCACCTTGGACAGCTGAACGCCCAGGATCAAACCACGGCCGCGAATCTCAGAGATAACATCGGGAAACTTCTCCTGAAGGCTCTGGAATCCAGACACAAACAAAGAGGACTTGGCTTCCACAGACCTTTGCAACTCCGGCGAGGCGAGACGCTCGACGATGTGATGAGCGACTCGGCATGCGAGGGGGTTACCTCCGAAAGTAGTGCCATGATCACCTGTCTTGATGTGCTCCGCAACAGTCTTGCCAGATATTATGGTAGCGCCAATGGGGATACCATTACCGAGAGCTTTGGCCGTGGTAAGAATATCAGGGTGGGCGGCTTCGCCCGATGCTGGCTTCAGTGAGGGGTGAGCATGAGCCCAGAATGAGCCAGTTCGAGATAGACCACACTGAATCTCATCAAAGACGAGCACAGCTCCTACCTCATCACACCGCTTGCGAAGAGCCGCCAGGAACTGAGGAGTCGCGGTGTTAACACCGCCTTCTCCCTGGATAGGCTCCACGATCACACCACAAGTCTTGTCTGTGATGAGCTCCTGAAGCTGCTCAATGTCATTGTAGTTGCCGTACTTGAAGCCGGGTACCATAGGTGAGAAAGGAGTCTGATACTTGGGGTTGGGTGTAGCGGAGAGGGCTCCCATCGTGCGGCCGTGGAAAGAGTTGTGGAAGGAGACGAATTCGTGTTTGGCTCCGGAGGGGTCAAGAGACCGACCAACCTTACGAGCAAACTTTATGGCAGCCTCGTTCGCCTCTGTTCCGGAGTTAGAGATGAAGACTTGGGAAGCGTCGCGCATTGCGCCAGATTCGTGGGTCAATGCAATCAACAGTTTGCTAAGGGCACCAGTCCAGGCATTATGGTAGAGGTTTGAGGCGTGGATAAGTGTCTCGGCCTACAGAGCACGACATACGTCAACTACAAACCCTTAGTGGTCAAACAACCTGAGTATACACACCTGTTCTGCGATAATCTTTGCGATTTCCGGGTCACAATGGCCGAGAGAGTTGACGGCAATACCAGCGGTGAGATCGAGATACCGCCTGTTCTCCATATCCCAAACATAACACCCTTGTCCCTTAATCATTACGGGAGCTGGTCGCACGTATGTAGGCACCATGTACGGGGTGCGCTCCCTGATGAAGGCCGCTGTCGCAGAATCGGTCGCAGGGTCTGGGTTAGGCAAAACTGCCTCTTTCTGTAGAGGTCGCCATTATTAGAACGGACAATAATTTTGATTTCATATGACCTACAGTCACCTGAGCCTTCACATCCTGAGGAGCATTGGATATTTGTGTCCCTGCCGCTGCAGAAGCGAATCGTTGTTGGACTGGTGACTGAAATCCAGGAACCAGTCGCTTTGTGAGCGGCAGTCGCCGCGAAGCCACACGTATGAAAGTCATTGCGGGCAGCAGTGACACTAGAAGTCTGAGAATGAAAGATCGCCGAAGCAATTGACTCAGGAAAGGACTGAATAAATAGGACTCAGAAAAGGAGAGTCGAGAGTCATAAAGTTGAGCGACTGTGACTGTGACTGTGATGGGTCCAGAAAAATGCCGCGATATCGGGCAGGCCGCTTATCGGCCAAAACTTACGCAGCAGAAATGACTCGATGCCATCTCCGCCACTCCGCATTTCCACTAGTTTCACATATCCTTGACGTCTTGCCTGACACGTCTTGCTTCTCTCCGACGAGAAACATCATGGCGCTCTTCGTACCTCGTCGGGTATTTGTACCCTCCAGCTCTAGTCTCAGAGTCTCCTCACGATCCTTTACATGTTACTCCGTTCTCTGGAACGACAAGCCGGCTTTCACATTCGGCCGGGGCCCAGCTCCTCCAAGACTACCGAAGGAAGAGCAAGAGCTCTTTGAAGAGCTTCAAAGACGATCGACTGGCGCATTTAGTACGCCTCGTGCCCCTCCCAAAGTCAACCAGTCACCACATTCCCAACCTGCTGCTGAAGAAGGGCCTGAGGTTAAGGCCACGGGCAAAGGAGAGGAACTTCATCCGGATCTGCGGCACAGTCTCAAGCCTGAATTCGAGGGTGAGAAGAATCCCAAGACTGGAGAAGTAGGGGGACCCAAGAACGAGCCACTGCGATGGGGGGCGGAGGGCGACTGGAGCTACGGTGGTCGTGTCACAGATTTCTGATCGTGCACTGGGATGATCCTACGTCCTATGGAGAAAGAGTGGGTATAGATGTACCCCCGCCAGCCTGTTTGTTCCCTTCACGCAGTCCTGATGTTGTCTCACAAGACTAATCTAATTAGATTCTGGGGTTTAAGGATTAGTGTCATACTTGGCTTCTATGCTAGCAAGCCTCATAACCTATTGGTAAGAACAGCAAACCCATCACAAATAGCCCCAGAGCGGTGCACATAACAATGGATACATATATACAAGAGCGGAGCATTGCAATATGGACCAGAAATATCATATGTACTTTCAAGACTTTGGAGGCGGAATTTTAACGCGACTCATTAACATAACCTTGATCTAACAGCAGCCTACTTGGTAGACGTGAAGCATCCTAGGTATGATAAATACCCCATGAGACACTCTCCTGGCCGATGTAACCTGACACCTGACAGTTCATGGTGCCCTTGGATCCGACCAGACCATACCATTGGAAGCGCGAGATGGAATCATTAATAAGGTCAATGATATCCTGATTGCCAATCTTCACTGTTACTCTAGATCCCTGCGTTACACCAAACGCGCAAGTCCCATATTGAAGCAGTTGGTGCTGGACGCCGAAGCCCTCGAAGGTCCAGGTGCCGCCGCCAGCAATGTTGCGGGCAATTTGCAAGCAGTCGTCTACCCTGGGTGATCCACCACTGCTCTGGTTGATGAAAGTAGAGTCACCACAGTCATTGATTCTGTCTCTCTTCTTAATGAACAGGACGGATGGGAATGCTTCGTTCATGCTACTATCAGCTGGGGCAGCCACCGGAGCAGCTTCGACAGCAGCAGTAAGGAAAAGGCCTAGGGCAGTGATGCTCTTCAAAAGTTGCATTTTGCTGATTCTAAAAGATATTAGTGTGCGAAGAATGATGTGACTGAATGCTATGGTAGTCATACTGTGGCTAACCTGTGGTCCTTGATAAATGACAGGTTTCTATTGGTAAGAAGGGCTTGATAATGAGGTTGACTGTGAGAGAAAGTAATAGATGATAGCTGAGAGTCCTTACTAGATAAATATCTCTACTAACAGTACTCACAGGGACCAAGATCTAAGAGCCCTTTATACTTTTAGGAATCTGTATTATAGCGCTCCTAGTCTGTGATGGGYCTCAATGATAACCCTGTACCTCTAACTGATATAT